GGGGTGGGGTGGCACCCGGGGCTGGGGCGGGGCCAGGGAGGTTTGGGGTGGAGCTGCGGCTGGAGGGCTGGGGGTGTGGCAGGTTAGTGGCCCCCCCAGCCGTGGAGGCGGCAGGAGGAGGCGTGGTGTGCAAGGGGGTTTGGGAGGAGGCTAGCTGAGAGCCCATCGAGGGGCCAAGTGCATTCATGGGGAGGTTAGCGCCCTGCTGCTGCTGGAAAGAAGGACACACAAAGGGCAGGCGACACACACGTACACACACACACCAGATTAGCAGACAGACACACAGGCGTAAGGTCAACGAGACACACACACACAATTTGAGGTTTAGAGAGCATCTTGTGATCGGTATGAGAACAATTTCAGAGCAATTAGTGCATTAAATGGTTGGTGAGAGTAGTTTGATTTTAAGTTCCAACCGCTGTTTAGAATGAGCATACCTTTAAAAGAAGGATAGCATTACCTAAAACAGCCAACTAGTGAGTTCTAACGTCTCACCTGGGTGACGGCAGCCTGTGCAGGTGGCTGGCCCATGCCGGGCCCCACGGTGACATTCAAGGCCCCCGTTGCAGCGACTGCAGTTGATCCTGGAGGGAACTGGGTCTGAGCCAGGAACTGTCCCTGGCTAGCCGTCTGGCCGACCATGTTAGCACCGCCATGTGCCGCTATCATGCCCTGAGCCTGGGGCATCCTGGAGGGGGACATGCCCATCTACAAGGCAGGGAAAAATATGATGATTACTTTGAGCTGAGTGACGGGAGTTTCCACTGACATAACCAGAAGCAAGAGCCAAAGATCAATCACATTACTGGCATTCTAGCTCCATTATAATGCGGTGATGGTTTACAATGAATATCTCCCATCTCAAATAAAAGGCTGAACAAGTGTGAAGAGGTTTATGGATTGCAGACTACAGTAGTGTTTTTTCCGAGTGTCAATTGGCTAGATATCAATCTATATTGTCTATAGTGCTTAACAGTTATGAATGAGATAGATTCTTGTTTTTCTTATAAAATAAGAAAATGTTAGTGCTTTTGTTACAAAAATGATGACACAATTCAAAATATTTACAAAAGAAATTAAAGGTGGGGCATGTCATTTTGGAGAAACCAGCTCGAGTGCGCTAGAATTTGAAAATACACAACCGGAAAAAATCTGCCACTTCCTTACAGAGCCCCTCCTCCAACACAGACGAACGCGCACATGACCAATGAGGGGACGAGATAATTTTGTGCACAGATGGAAGGCTGACAGGCAGGTAGGCCATCCAGT